TATTGTATTGTATTGTATTGTATTGTATTGTATTGTATTGTATTGTATTGTATTCTATTCTATTCTATTCTATTCTATTCTATTCTATTCTCTGGAACATCAACCCTCTGGAATTAGACTGGTCTCCAATTTGACACTGTTTTGGAAGATCCTGAAGATATGGTTCTGCCAGCAGGCCTGGGAAACCCAGAGTGGGGTGGAGTCTATTAAATCGCTGGTATGAATGTGTGTTGTCACTGGCAAGAGATAGTCTTTCCACTGGGGTGGAAAGGGTGGGGGGATATTATTTTAATATTTTAAAATTTTGAAGGAAAAAGAATTTATTAAAAATATGGAAAAAGAACTGGCTTTTTTCTTTAAAGAAAATAATAAGGAGGAAACTTCATTACAAAATGTATGAGGCACTATGAAGGCCTATATCAGAGGTCTGATTATAACTTATATAAGAAGAAGGAATATTAAAAAAAAGACAAGCACAACAGATCTTAGAAGAGGACTATTAAAAATTGGAGAAAGAACTACAAAAATATCCACATAGAAAGAATCTTAAAAGTCAAATGGAAATAATTAAGCATTAAATGGGGCTGATGGAAAAAAAGAAGAATTGGCACACACAAAATCAGGTGAACTAAACAGAACTTTTTAAAAAATGCAAATAAACCAGGTAGATGGTTAACATAAAAATTGAAAAAGGAGAGAGAATTGAAAAGGATAACACAATTAATAGATGACCATGGAATGGTTTGTTATGGGAATAAAGAAAAAAGAAATAGTACAAAAGTATTATGAGAAATTATATGATCAAGAGAATATTGAAGAAGGAAAAGTAAAACAATATTTGCAAAAAACAAAATTACCCAAAATACCTGAGGAAATCAAGATAATGTTAGAAGGGAAAATAACAATGATGAAACTGACAGAGGTGATAAATAGACAAAATATTGGAAAAGCACCGGAGCCAGATGGGCTACCAGCAGAACTTTACAAGACATTGGAGGAATCTCTCAGCACTACAATGCTTGAAGTAATGAATGAGGTTTGGACAAAAACTAAAGTACCTAACTCATGGACAGAGGCATGTATTACTCTTATACCAAAAGAAGATATTGATCTACAACAGATAAAAAAACTATAGACCCATATCCCCGCTGAATGCAGATTACAAAATATTGGTCTCAATAATGGCAGAAAGACTTAAAAGATATTTGAGCTATTTTATACATACAGATCAAAATGGATTTTTGCCTAAGAGGCAAATAAAAGACAACATGAGAATAATATTGAATAGATTGGAATACTATGAAGCACACCCAGAGAAGCAAATGGTCTTGGTGTTTTTAGATGCACAGAAAGCTTTTGACAATGTAAAATGGCAATTTATGTTGCTGCAAATGGAAGAGATGGGTTTTGGAGAAAGATTTATTAAAACAATCATGGCAATATATTATAAACAATCAGCAAAAGTAAAGATAAATGGAGATTTGACAGATAATATCAATATTAAAAAAGGAACTAGGCAAGAATGTCCTCTGTCACCATTGTTATTTGTATTGACTTTGGAAGTATTAAATAGAAATATTAGGAAAGATAAAGAAATAAAAGGAATGAAAATAAAAAAGGAGGAGAATAAGTTACAGGGATTTGCCAATGATCTGGTCTTTATATTAGAAAAACCATTGGAGACAGCTTCTAAACTGATAGAGAAGATAGAAAAATATGGAGAAGTTGCAGGACTAAAAATAAATAAAGAAAAAACTAAGATTTTAGTGAAGAACATAACAGAGAAACAAAGGAAAGTATTAATGGACAGTCTAAACATCCGGATCATAAAAACGTGAAATACCTGGGAATATAATTGACAGCAAGATGTGGAACATTTAAGGAAGACAATTATTATAAACTAAAACAACAGATTGCAACAGACTTGGAAAAATTTACAACTATCTTTAACAGGGAGAATATCTACAATTAAAATGAATATATTACCAAGGATAGTATACTTATTTCAGTGATTCCAATAAAATTAGGGAAAGAATACTTTGAGGATTTAAATAAAATGATGTTGAAATATATATGGCAGGGAAAGAAGACAGGAATCAAACTAAAACTACTACAGGACACTAGAATGAAAGGAGGTTTGGATTACCCAATTGGGAATTATATCATCAGGCAGTAATATTGATGTGGATGAAAGAAAGGATTGTTTTGAGAAATACCAGATTGTTAATATTGGAAGGTCATGATCTGCAATTAGGGTGGCATGCATTTTTATGGTATAAGGAAAGTAAAGCTCATGGATATTTTCAGAGACATTATATTCAAGATGCTTTACTATCAACATGGGAGAACATAAGGGAACAATATTATTTGAAAATACCCTTCTGGTTATCAATAATAGAGGCATTTGCATATGCATATGTATTTAAAATGAAACATATTGTTGGATATACTGAAATTTTAAATGAAAAGGGTGAACTCAAAACAAAGCAAGAACTAGATGAACAAGGGATAAAGATGAATTGGTATTCATATATGCAAATACATTCTAGATATGAAAAAGATAGTAAGATAGATGGGTTTTACAAAGAATTGACTGAATTAGATAAAAAATTTAACAGGTACTGAATAGAGGATGATTTTAAAAAAATTATGGTTATTTATTATTAGTTCCTATTTCTTATATTTAAACTTATATTTATTCTTATTTTATTGTCTTGTAAGCTTTTGACAAAATAAATAAATATATAAAATAAAAATAAATAAAATATTAGGAGTAAAATTAGAAGAACAAGTTAAAGAAATGATTATTGCCTGGGGGAAAAATTTTGGATATGGAATAGATTTGGAAAAATGGCAGAAATTATGGACTAGAAACTATACATTAACAATGTCAACAGCTTATAAAGAGAATTTGTATAAGATGTTTTACAGGTGGCATTTACCCCCTGGAAAGAATACCAAAGATGTTTAAGGACAAATTGGCAAAATGTTGGAAATGTCATCAGATACCTGGATCATACCTGGATCATATGTGGTGGACATGTGCAGAAGCTAAAAGATATTGGACTAAAATACACACATGGTTGGAAAAAATGATAAAACATCATATAGACTTAAAACCAGAGATATTTTTATTGGGGATTTTATCTGAAGGTTATAGTAAAGAAATAACATATCTGATTATTAATGTTTTAACTGCAGCGAGAATTGTATTTGCTCTGGGTGAGCTCCCACAGCAATCTCTGGGCACGGTCACCATAATGAAGGGCAGCAAAAGTCAATTACCTAGATGTTGAATTATTTTCCTCCAACATCCCTTTCTGGACATGTCCAGACAGAAAGGACCGCAACAACTCCAGGGGTGTATTTGTGACTTTTCACTTACTTGCTATTCTGCACTTGGAGTCTGAGAAGATCTTCAGGATTCCCAGAGGAAAAGTTGTTTCTCGCTGTGATGATCACCAACATGCTCTTTTGAGACATCTTCTGCCACAGTGACTGCCTTTGATGTTAACATCAGGCTGAAACAACAAGAAAGGGATCTTGCATCAGAAAAGGATAAATGCCACAATTTTGGGACAGGCAGTTATTGTGCTCTTGAATGTACCTTTCTCTCATTTCCAGGTGAAGGTTGGTTTGTCTCTGCAGAATCAGGAAAGCCAGAGTGCGATGAATTGTCCCACTTCTTCTTGTTCTTGTTTAGAAATAGGAAGGGGATTGATTCAGTCCTATAAATTATGGATATTCTGCTTCTGATGCTGCTGGTGTCTCAGGCAGTTTCTATGAAGCTTAGAATGAAATGCCCACTTAATTTTGAGAATCAGGACGGAAAGAAACCATGGAACTATTACAAGCCAGGAGACCATTTCATTGGTATAGTCACCACTGAAACAACACCATCACCTAGAACGTTGCCTTTCAACATGGCTCCATCTACTGAGTCTCGCTCGTAAGTTACTCAGTGTGATGGAGTT